GGGGAGGATGTGCCCCTCTGAAACCCCCTTTATCAAGTCAGATCAAACATCTGAAATAACTCAATGATTTGCGGCAAAAATGAAGGTTATATTCGTGTTCAGCATGCAAAATACTACAAATCGAGTACATGAGACGGGTGCATGAGGAAATTCTTAAAATCCCCACCGAACGTTCGGGTAAATAAACCAGATCTCAATTTTTCCGAACAGTTTCCGATCTGAAGATTTTTTGGTTAAAAATTGCGAGATTTAGGGGTCATCTTTCATTCTGCGAGGACTGGGAAGAACAAGCATTTTTTGATAGAATTCAAGTTCTAGAGCTAGTAGATATCTAGAGATTTTAAAATGTCGACTGGATGTATTCTCAGTATACTTCAGTTGTGATTGAAGGCAACGTTCCCGGACTAGATATCTAGATAAATCTAGATATCTAGATTCTACTTCATTTGAAAATGCCTTCAAAAGGTAGAATCTAGATCTAGATTCTAGATCTACTGTGAGAAAACAAGGCTGATCGACCTTGGCAGTTTAGTAACCTATTTTGCATTTAGATCATAGTCACCAAGCAAAAACTAAAATCCCTTTGAAATGTAAACAAAAAAATCCCTCCACACCCCCTAACCCTGACCTTGACCCTAACCCTGACCCTAACCCTAACCCTGACCAAGGTTAGGGTTAGGGTTAGGGACCAAAGCGAAACACACCTGAGGCTATGAAAAACGCACATCGGAATTATACGCGGAAATCTTGACAATCGCCAAACTCACTCACACACACACTGGCCATTCCATTCGCAATAATTATGATCATCAACAAATCTCGAGAACGGAAACCGTTCAGAGAAAAAAAGTTTATTTTCCCGTGCGTTCGGAGGAGCCGGCCTAAAAAAAAAACCCAACAACAACACAATCGTCACTTTTACATGGTAAATTATCAGTTTCAAAATGGCTATTCGATGGAACGGGAAAGCATTTTCCAAAGAGTGCCAATTACCTGTGCCTGTGTGTCAACACGACATTAGCAACAACTGAAATTGAAAGGCGGTGTATCCATTTTTGATGGGTTGGAGTTGGACTGATACTCAGCTGGAGGAGTTGAAGAAAAGAGGAAGTGAAGAAGACGGAAGAACCCAAGTTTCGGAAATATCCTGATCTAGGTTTTTAGATTTTGGCCAATTTTAATTTTCTCCTGCATGTGTTAAAAATAGATATTATCTTGACTAGATCTAAATCTAGATCTAGATCTAGATCTAGATCTAGAAACTAGAATCTAGAATATAGATCTAGATCTTAAAAAAAAAAAGCAAAGAAGCAAAACAAAACATAGAGACCCAAATTCGCCATTCCCAGGAGAGTTATAGTACAAAGCGAAAGCCAGCAAAGATCTATGAGTTATTAATAAAAAGGTAGATCTAGACTCTAGGTGCTCATTTTTTAAAAAGATTTTTTATGAAAAGTTTCGAAATAATATTATATAGATCTAGATGAAATGAGTCAACGCATCTATAGATCTAGAATTTATATCAAGATCAAGATTTGATCTAGTCTAGACATAGAGGGCAACTTTTGAGTTAGCTTCTTTGGAGAGATCCTCGGTGTAATGATATGGGACATAATCCATAATCCACCACAGTTGCTTGTCCATTATATTATCAGTTGTTTCCCTTCCATTGTGAACACTCCAAGAGCAGTCCTCACATTGTCTTGAGATTCAGGGCTTCTGGGAACATATGGTCTGGGGTTTATATAAAGCTGTGTCTGTGTCTCTAGTTGTTGTTTTTGGGGGTTTTTTGGATCATTTGACTGGTGAAGTGACCCTTGCTACATGGTGTCAGAAGTGAGTGAGTGAGACAGAAGAACCACACAAGAGTAGGATATAACGTGGAGAAACCTCACGGTAAGAAACATGACTTTTAAACCACCAGCTAATTTTAACTTTCATGAACCGATAGCATGGGCTTCGTGGAGACAAACTTTTCTTAGATTTAGGCCTGCGTCTGAGTTGACGAAGAAAAGTGAAGAAGTCCAAGTTAGTAGCCTCATATATGCAATGGGCCCTGAGGCAGAAAAAAATTCTGTCTACCTTTGGTCTTTCACAGGATGATAGCAATGTTTTCAACACAGTTCTGACCAAGTTTGATGTGTATTTCAGCCCAAAACGAAATGTAATTCATGAGAGAGCTCAGTTCCATAAACGTTGTCAGAAAGAAACAGAGACCATAGAAGAGTACGTCAGAAGTTATACCAACTCTCTGAGCATTCATCCTTCCCAGATAAGGACAATATGATTAGGGATCTGCTAGACCTGGGTATTACTGACAAAGAATTGTCGGAGAAACTTCAGTTAGAGCCTGATTTAACCCTTGAGAAAGCTATCACTATGACAAGACAAACAGAAAGAGTAAAGGCCCAAATCAAAGAGCAAAGATTGCCAAATGTCGATGCCGTTCAATCCTTTGGATCGAGAACCCTCAAACATGGGAGTGTGCATGGGGGACCACGCAGAGGATCCGCTCTGCGGGGACGCGGAGGAAGCAGTGGCCAGCAAGACGTGCGTAATTGCCAGTACTGTGGGGGATCCCACGGCAGACGACAATGTCCGGCATATGGGAAAACATGTAGAGAATGCTCCAAGAAGAATCACTTTGCCAAAATGTGCTACACAAGAAAGAAAATCAACGAAGTAAAAGTGGAAGATGAAGAAGAGGAAGAAGCATACCTACTGTCAATAGAAACGAAAAGTAATGAAACGCCATGGAAAACAGAGGTAGCAGTCGGCAAACACAAAATGCAATTTAAGATTGACACGGGTGCAGACGTTTCAATCATGACGGCAGAGACGTTCGCTGAGTTAGAGCCGAGACCTGTTCTACAGAAGACCAAGATAATACCCAGAAGCCCGGGGTGGTGTTTTGAAATGCCACGGCAAGGCAGCCATGAACTTTACAGTCAAAGGAAAACAATACACAGTGACAGTTTATGTGACGCCAGCACCAGAAAATCTTCTGAGCCGAGAGGCTGCCGCGAGGATGGGACTAGTCTAGTAGTACGGGTAGATTCGTTGTTTGGAGGCTTAGATAAAAATGCTATCAAAACTAAACCAGCGAAAATCGAGTTGAAGGAAGATGCTCAACCGTATAGTGTTCATACAGCCCGTAGAATCCCAATTCCCCTCAGAAGCAAGGTCAAAGAAGAACTAAGAAAAATGGAGCAGGCTGGGATCATAGACAAAATCGACGAACCAACAAACTGGTGCTCACCGATCGTACTAGTGATCAAACCATCAGGGGGAGTAAGAATATGCACTGACTACAAAAAGCTGAACGCAGCTGTCAAACGTGAGAAATACATGCTCCCTGTCGTTGAAGAGGTCTTGCACAAACTAAAGGGTTCGACAATCTTCAGCAAACTAGATGCTACAAGCGGCTATTTCCAAGTTCCACTTGATGAGAAGTCGGCAAAACTGACTACCCCTGAAGGAAGGTTCTTCTACAAACGCTTGCCGCAATTAGGGATCTGCTCGGCGAGCGAGATTTTTCAGAGGACGATAGAACAGATTATCGGTGATCAGAAGGGAGTAATTTGTTTCCAAGAAGACATTCTTGTTCACAGCAGAAACACAGAGGAGCACAAGAGACACTTAAAAGAAACATTTTCGAAGCTGGAGAATGCCGGGGTGAAACCGAAGACAAAAAAGTAGAGACGCGTCACTCCTCGATTTAGGCGAGATTGGGGTCAGGCATCCGGTGAAAGTTTCACGCCGTACAACTAATAGTCTGTTCCTCACAACCGAGGAATCGCCTTATTGTTTTCATAGTAAATTAAGCAAGGGGGTTTGTCTGAATGGGTTTTAAACACCATTTCTCTTTCTTTACCATCACGTCATACCCTCATCCACACAAGAAAGATGGAGTCAGAACATTCTAGTAATTCTAGTCAGTATTTTGATTAAAATTTCAAAACATACCTTACTGCATGTTTCCTCTCGGTCGGTACAATTATTGACCTGTCTTGGCCACGTCCCCTCTCCTTATTCCTGGCCTGCATCTCATTGCATTAATGCGCACAATACGCCAAATCTTTTCTATTCTTCTTCTTCTACTCCTTTTTCTTTGTCATTTTCTTCTTGTTCTTGTTTTTCTTCTTGCTCTTGTTTTTCTTCTTCTTCCTCCTCCTCTTCTTCTTCTTCTCCTCCTCCTCCTCCTCCTCCTCCTCCTCCTCCTCCTCCTCCTCCTCCTCCTCCTCCTCCTCCTCCTCCTCCTCCTCCTCCTCCTCCTCCTTCTCCTTCTCCTTCTCCTTCTCCTTCTTCTTCTTCTTCTTCTTCTTCTTCTTCTTCTTCTTCTTCTTCTTCTTCTTCTCCTTCTTCTTCTTCTTCTTCTTCTTCTTCTTCTTCTTCTTCTTCGTGGGTGGTTGGCGTGTGCTCTGGTGTGGTTTACTCCTTCTTTCCTATCCAAGCACCTATGGTCCTTATCTCTCCACCTCCTGTTTTATGTATGTAACTCTCTTGTAACGCATCTATTCTTCGAAACTTATATATATGACCTCATTCTTGCAACACAGCATCAGCAAGTGCCGTAAAACTCTTACTAAAACTATTTGTTTTAACTCTGCTTCTTTTTCCTTCACTGGAGCATAAATCTGATGAATTGATTAATTATGCGCACATTTATTGACCAACTTCACCACATACTACTACTTCCGACTGAGGTGACTCCTCGCTCCTTCTGTCCCTATAGGAAATAACAAGGGGAAGTGACTTTGAGAAGAACAGACTATGAAATGTACGGCGTGACATAGTTTTGAGGCGCTGCGTCACCGATCTCGCGTAAATAACATGATGCGAAGAGGGGCCAGCTGACGAGTGAAATATCTCTTACAAGTCATCTCCGGTGAAACTGAACCAAGAAACATGCGAGCTGAGAAAGGATGATATTAAATTCTTGGGGTTCATCGTCAGCAAGGGCGGGATCAGACCGGATGACGGCAAGACGTCAGCAATCATCGAAATGCCAGACCCCACAAACCTGACTGAGCTGCGCAGAATGCTGGGTTTGGTACAATTCGTCGGGCGTCACCTTCCAAATCTCTCCACTGTTGCCCGCCCCTTGACAGAGCTACTCGAGAAGGAAAGAGCGTGGGCATGGGGTCCTTCTCAAATCGAAACAGTGAAAAAGGTCAAGGAACTGTTAACAGAAGCACCGACGCTGGCATACTTTGACCCAGAACTGCCAACGACAGTGAGTGCTGATGCCAGTAGCTATGGCCTCGGAGCTGTGCTGCTGCAAAAACACGAAGAGGGTGATCGTGCAGTCGCTTTCTCATCCAGAACACTGTCAAAGCCAGAAAAGCAAAATGCACAAATAGAAAAGGAGTGCTTAGCATCCACATGGGCGTGCGAGAAATCTGAGAAATATCTCATCGGACTGCCAGCAGTAGAGATTGTGACAGATCACAAACCCCTAATACCTTTGATCAATACGAAGGATTTATCAGACACACCTCTTCGGTGCCAGAGACTGTAACTTAGTTTGCTAAGATTTAACGCAACTACCAGATACGTTGAGGACAAGAAGATGCTAGTGGCTGACGCTCTCAGCAGAGCACCACTAGCAGACGAAGACAAAGCGTCACATCGAGACGTGCACACACACGTAAGAGAGGTAGAAGCGTCGTGGCCAGTCAGAGACACAACACTTGAAAAGCTCAAACAGGCAACGAAAGAAGACCTTGAACTGAGCTGTGCCAAGAGCTACACACTGAATGGATAGCCTGCATACAAAGAAAACGTTCAACTAGCTGCCAGAAACTTGTACGATATCAGAAGTGAGCTGAGTGTGCAAGACGGGCTACTGTTGAGAGGGAAAAGGATAGTCGTCCCATTAGAGATGAGAAAAGAGGTTCTTGAGAAGATTCACCATGGTCATATGGGAATAGCTAAATGCCGAGAGAGGGCAGCGCAGTCAGTGTGGTACCCACAGATTGGGAAAGACATAGAGGAAAGAGTGACAAATTATTGTCGACAGTGCTTGGAAGAGAGAGCATCCCATCCCAAAGAGCCTCTGCTTCCAACGCCACTTCCCAATAGGCCATTTGAGAAGGTAGCACTTGACCTGTTTGAACTGAAAGGTCGGTCGTTCGTTGTGGTCACCGACTACTATTCACGTTATCCAGAAATTGGGTACTTTTGGTCGCCCAACCAGAAAGCCTCAACGTTAGTCACTAAACTGAAAATCATCTTTGCGAGACATGGCATCCCAGAGACAGTAGTCAGTGACAATCAGACCAATCTTACGTCACACGAATTTCAACGATTTGCCCAAGACTTGGGTTTCCAGCATATTACCAGTTCCCCACACTTTTCATCTGGGAACGGAGCGGCAGAGTGCAGAGTCAAACTGTCCAAGCGTCTGTGAAGGCAAGAAGACTACGCTCTGGCATTGTTGACGTACAGAGCTACGCCAATACCAGGACTGGGAGCTAGCCCGGCAAAACTAGCGATGGGGAGGAAAATGAAGACGACACTTCCAACACTTCCCACAGTCTTACAGCCTCGCGCAGTCAACACGCATCTGCTGCGCGAAAAGGACAGAGTCTGCAAGCAGAAGCAAAAGTCCTTCCATGACAGACACTTCAGAGCTCGAGCCTTGTCTGAGCTTAGACCAGGTGATGCTGTTTTCATCAGACTGGACGGACAACAGGGTTGGAAGCAGCCAGCCAAGGTTGTAAAGCAGTGTGCACCTAGGTCTTACCTAGTAAAGACGGCAGCAGGCAGCGTGCTGAGGCGGAATCGGCGCCATCTTCTGCGCCGACCAGAGGGAGGCGACAGTCTGAGGTCGCCGTACATCCAGTTTCCAGCGTCGGAGTCCTCGGAGGTCTACCAATCTCCGATTTCTACGCATGCTGATCCAGTCCTACCTCCAAATCCTGGGAGTAACAGTGGAGGCCCTCCAGAGCAGCCTCCACCGTCTCCATCATCGCACTTGTCCATGGAGCCAGTGACGTCACAAATGCAGAATCAGCAGGGGACATCTACAACTGCAGTGGCAGCACCACAATTCAGCAGAAGCGGCAGAGCCATCGTTAAGCCAGCACGTTACCGTGACGAATGATATGAATCTCATGGACTGTTTCTCAAAGCCAATGTGTAGCTAGATTGTGCTTTGAGCTAGTATTGTGTTGCTGTGTTCGTTTG